AGTTGACTAATTAGCTCAGCAGTAAAGCATCACTGTTTATGCATGCACCTTTATTAGGTATTAGGGTATGTTCAGGAAAGTACTACCCTACAGCAAAGTAATTGCGTGTGATGAAACAGATGTCGACGATGGCTGGGGCATAAGGATAGTAAAGTGTGGGGGCTGCCTGCTGCACAGCTCTGTGCTTTATCATTCTTGTGCCCCAGCCAACCCCTCCACTACCCAGCGCTGCCACCTGAAGCCCAGAGCTGGCCCTCCAAGCCTCCGCCTTGGCTCAAACTGCTGCAGTCCTGGGTACACGTGCAGACACTGTGCCTGTGCCAGTTTATCATATTGCCTTAATGGCACATATAGATGCACCTACTGGGAATTCTGGTAAGACTTCTGGGACCTGATAAGCTAAAGATTGTACAGGTCAGATATTTTCAGAGCTTCACACTAAATGTACAATGAGACTCAATAAAAAACATGAAGAACTTAAGAAGTTAAAATAGGACATTCCATTTTCTCACTTTAAAAAAAATGTGAATGGCCATTTTATGGAAATTCACTAAATACAAACATGTTCATAAATTGATCCATATGGTTTAAAAACTTTGTTTCTCTAAACTTTGTCAATAATTGCCAAGTCCATGAGTCCAATCAGCAAGCCCCTTAGGGGCATCTGCAGTTACCACATCTGTTGCTACAGGATATGGGTTATAGCTGTGGCTGGGAGAAACCAGTGCTGGCTGCGTTCATGCTAAAAGCCCATTTACTTTAGCTCATACACTTGCCCAATACTGAGCCTCAGCTAAGGGGTGACAAAACCAAGGCACTCACCACAATGCAGCTGAAGTTTGCTTTTTAGATGCAAAATTATCATCTTATTATGCTTACTACTTATATCAGGTTCATTCTGCAGGAAATTTTAGATGATATTAGTAATCCATTTCCTTGCATATTACTAAGACAGCATGTTCTGTATTTATTAAAAAAACAAAAAAAATTGAGAGTTTTCTTACAAGAAACAAATTACATTTGTTTCTGAAAAGGAAACATATAATGCATTTCTCACCTTACACACTCTTCCAACTCGGGAAAGGATTGTTTTATCAGAGGTACTGCTATCTTGTGATATTTCTCGGAAAAAGAAATAGATTTTGTCATCATCTGGGTTGTACGTGTCCGGGATGGGGAAGAGTCCAATAAATTTTGCTCCTAAAAGAAGTCCCCAAAAACAGCAACATGTTATAAAGGTGTAAAAAATTCCTTAATATTTGAGATCAAGATTGCATTTTTATATCCATGTAGTGAAATCAGTGAGTTGTCATAGAGGGCAGTTTTGCCTTTATCTTCAATGGACCAGGGTTGTACCGATTCCCAAAGTATTTATTTCTAGTATGACAGCTTCACTTTCATTATTTATATTGGCATAGATGGCTGTCATTTTGAATGTAAAGATATATTCAGGTTTTTAGGCCTAAAAGAAAAATCTGTAATAAAGTGGATTTTTTGCTTGTATGGATTGTGTATAACTAGACACAGTAGAAAACCACATTTATTAGAAACAGTATGGAAGAGGGTAATATAACATCTGTTTGTTTATAGACACAAACTCATATATTTATGGCAGCTTTATGAAGCTAATCACATCCTACAATAGCCTCACAAAGCCAACGGTTTCCCTACACTGCAGTGCTAAAATTACTTGTTAAGCCATTTGGTTCAACCCCTGTCCTGCTTGGTGTTTTCTTTTTCACATGTGTAAAACCTTGGGATTTTCATTTTGCTTATCCATTCAAACCAGAAAGCAAATGCATGCCAGACACCTTAATAACTGGAACGCAGCATACATTGCATAAATAGAGGAACCCGACATTTAGGAAAATAGCTTTAAGATGTCCTTGTGATAAACCACAGGACCTGAGCCCTCTTGAGGGTATTAGGCTAACGCACAGAAAACTGCTTTGCTTCCAGGAGAACAGGGTAAGTAGCCAGGCAAATTCAGCAGAGAAACACCCTTGATGGTGGGATCCATTACCTGGGCTGACACTGAACAGAAGTTTTGGCCTTCACAGGATGCAGTAAAGTGCCTCCTTTCTCTTAGGGATTTGGCTGGCAGAGAAAAGGATAACATGGAACCTAGAGTAAAAACTGTACTGATGTTTTAGACTGTTGGATGATCTTTTCCCATCTTTTTAAATATGTGCATTCATTTATATTTTCATTATTATTTATATTAGGAGCTAGAAACTCTAGGCATGGGCTATTAGCCCAAAGTACTAGGTGCTGTACAAAAATGGAACAAAACTATGGCCCCTGCCTCAATGCTTGCAATCTATGCATGAGATAAAAGATAGAATTTGTTTAAATTCCAAGTATGTGCCTTTGTGCCAGATGGTACAATTTCTGGGCTTGAATAGGTACAATGTTATTCCACTTTTAAAACTAGGATGCCTTAATTGTGTATCGAGTTGCATAAATTTAAGCCAGGATTTTCAAATGAACTCAAGGAAAACAAATATATTCAAATCTCCACTGAACCCCCTCTATGCTCTTTTGAAAGACCCAGATCCAAGCATTCATAAGCTTCCACGGCTACCTAAAAAATCATGGATAAACTCCAGCAGCAATGCTCCCCCTGCACTGGCAAGCTGAAGCCTGGGTGCCATACAATCAGCTGATTATCAGCTGGGCTGAGGGAGTCTCACACCCAGCTGCCCAGAGCTGCTCGGTACAGGGTTTAAAGTCCCCGGTGGGGGAAGCTGGAGGATCCACCTTTGGTAGTCTCTGCTTCCCTACACTGGGCAGCCCAGCCAGAGCTGTCCAGCACAGGGTTTCAAGTCCTGGTATGGGAGGGGGAACAGAGATTTTCCCCTCCTGGGGACTTGAAACTCTGTGCCAAACATTTCTGGCCAGGCAGCCTGACACAGGAAAGCCTCTGATCCCCACACCAAGAACCTCTTCTCCTGCACTAGGCTGCATAATCAGAGCTGCCTGGTGCAGGGTTTAAAGTCCTTGATGAGGAGAAGACTACTCCCCTGTACCAGGCTACCCTACCAGTGCTGCTTGGCGTGGGGTTTAAATCCCCAGTGGAAAAAGGTAAAGGCTCCTGCCCCCCTGTGAACCTCTGCTTCCCAGCTTGGGTATTAAAACCTAGGCAGCCCTGGCTGGAATGTCCCCAGCAGCGAAGGCCCTTTGGCTTCCCTCCTGCCCAGCCTATGGCTGGACTGACAATCAGCTGATTGTTGGCCACTGGCCCCACATTCAATTTAAGGTGCCATGCAAAAAAAGTCATAAAATATTCTACATTATATGTGGAACACTTTCACGGTTTGTTCCCCATTTTATGGCATCTTAAACTGGATGCATGCCTTCCTATTTGTGTGTTAATTAATACATTCATTGCAGCATAAATGTCATGTGTAGACAGGCCTTAGATAGTTTTTATTTTTAAATCCACATGTGCAGAGCTGAACTCTGAATTTCAATTATTTAAAATTAAATTTCAGTGCTTTACTTGGCAAATAAACACAAAAAACAAGCTCATAAATATGTTCTTGGAACAGATTTAGAAAAATCCCTAAAAAATTAAATAAAAGAACAGGAATACTTAAAGACTTAAAATCGCAATTGAAAACATAGATGTTGAAAGTTAAATCAAAACAAAAATATATTGGAAAAGGTACATGAACAAAGAGATAGAAATCACTTTAAAAACATAGCCCTAGCTCATGATACAAAAAACAGATTGCATTCCACCAATAAGCCTCTGTCTCATCTTTTGACTTCTGTTCACACTATATAGAAGAGCAAGGTCTAATCAGCTATGAGCTGAGGTTACTGAAGTGTTGTACGAGAAACAAACTGCATTTGAAATCATTGTTTTCATCCCCATGCATGTGGTCTTTATCACTCAGAAATACATCTGACTTCAATGGAAAGTTTTCTTAATTGAAGATTTCATGGTTTGGCCATGTGTAAGCAAACAATACAGCACTAAGGGAGACAGCAGATCCTGAGAATAGATAACACATTAGATCCTAGTATGGCATGAACTTTTAGCAATTTGCTTCCATGGGGTGTATTGAGAGCAGTAGTAATATTACAGATTCTGTTATCACCAAGATCACTGATAGTCTTACAGCCCAATTACCTTCCTCATTACATGTTCCAATGTAATATAAGAGGACTCAATAATCAAAAGGCTTGCTGAAGGTTATTCTACATATAGAAGCCTTGTTAAGAGGCAAAGTAAGAAGTCCAAATGTCAAAGGCACCAAGCAATAGAAAATGCCCAGAAAACAGGGATGTGAAGGAAGAAGAATGAGCTAGTGGAAGACCCTCTGCATTAGCAGTCTGTAGTTTAGCCTCCAGAGACGACATGAGGACATGACTAGTCCCGGCATACTTAGGATGCAGAAGAAGAAGAGTCATTCCCTTTAGTATCATCCTCTGACAAAGAAGGCTTAGAACTGGGGCAAATCCTAAGAGATAAATACTATTCAAGGAGACCTTAACTCTGATTATGGCATTAACTGCCAGTGGAAGTGGGAGGAATGTGAATTTGCTGACTGTGTGCACATATATGGCAGATACAGGACTGCAGAACTTGGGAACCAGACAATCCTCATACAATCCTTTTCCTCTGACACTTGTCATGTACATGCTTAGGTGGATCAAGTCATGTCCAGTGCTCTCCAATTTTAAGTATTTAAGCCTCAGGACTTCTCTGACTTTGGTGGCATTCTGAATAGGAGTCCAGATGTGTATGCGAATCACCAGAAAGGTTATCTATACATCTCTTTTGTGAGGCTGCTATTTATGTAAGAGCCAAGTGTGAAAGAGCTGCCATACACAGTATCGTATTAGTTTTTCCATTTTGCTTTTATTTTGCTAAACCTTCTATAGGCGAAACAATCTTGCTTCCAAAAATATTTTAATAAATCAAAACCGAATTTAAAGATGCCAAAATGTATTCTAGTGCAGCCCTCTCTACACTTTAAAAGGAACAAGTCACACATTTTTCATTTATTCTAAGTAAAACATGACTCACTCCTGCAAGTAATTTATTACAAATTGTACAATTACTTAATTATGTACAACCATTCCTGGAGGTCTAACACATGCCTGGTAAATGGTTGGTAAATTCAGGTTTTGAAAGGTTGGGTTATTTTTTTAACTTAAAATCAAGTAAATATTTTTTTAACACCAAAATTTGCTGAAAGCAGAAAATGTAGGTGACCATTAATGTTACATAAAAACTAATAATGAGCTGAGTATTATGTTACTGAGCACACAACATGGTTAAATCAGAGCTGCAGTCAGAATTTCTTCAGCCTTAACACAATCATTTTTAACACACTTAAGAAACCCCAAGTTCATATTTATTTCAATGTATAACACTTCATCAATATCTGGGTTCAGTTTCAGATGTGCTGCAGTTGTAGTCTTTTAAAATGGCTCAAACCAGAGCAAAATCTAAGTGAATATTAAGTTGGAGCTTCATTGTTTTCATAGCATGGGACAGTTTTCACACTGCCATCTCTCATACTAAGCTGTTTTTTTTTAGTCCCAGCAACATTAATATAATACACAGTGTCCTTGTAAAGCTTTCAAAAACACAGTGGGTTTAACTGAAAACAAAAATCAATAATGAACATATCTACAAAGTTTTAAAAAAAGAAAGAGAAAAAAGCCCTATAGCTCAGGACTAAAATATACACACTGGCTACATCCAAAAAAGTGTGGACATTTGGTTCCCCGGGGACAAGTGGCAGCGGTGCACCTTGCACCACAGCTGCTTCTCCACGGAGGATGCCAGTATCACACACGCTTTAGTGTGCAGCATGTTACCCTGGAAGTGGTAGGGGAGGCTGGGGCCAGCACGATGCTTTACTTGGGGTCCTCCCGGGGCCACAGCAGTGGCGATCCTGGCTGAAAGCCGCAACATGGCTCCGGGCAGCCCAACTCTGCTTTTCAGCAGCATGCAGTGCTCATGTGTGTGTTGCTCTAGTTCTTTTTTGTGCAGGCTTTTTTGATCCCTGGATATCCAGAGGTCAGAAAAAAAAAAAACAGTGCAAAAAAGCCCTGGAGCAGTGCACACATGGGCAGTGTGGCCTTGCATCGCAGAGAACACCTGACTGTGCGGTATGTGGTGCTGCAGACATGTTGGCGGCGCCACATTCCACACGGCCACACTCATCTGGACGTGCACACTATGTTCAATCTCTTTGTTTTATATGCTGCACCTCTTTCATGTTCCTTTGTTTGTCTAGGATTCCTTGCAAATGCACGTGTAGGTAATTTAGCGACGTAAAGGAAACTACTCATGCACAGATACTGACAGGGCAGATAAGTGGCTGTAATACTGGTCTCTTCAGTAGCACGTTTCTTTTGGCAGGGAACTATGTCGTCTTACATACTAATGTATTGACCACTATAGCCTACAGGCTCCTTAGGTCCAAACTGTACTATTGATCTTTTAGCCCACCCGTTTGCAAACTGTTTGGAAAAATGGATACTGTCAACTTTCCAAATTTTCTAGGGATGGATTGGTACCCACACTGATCATCAAACTTATAATACTTTTAGCTGAATGGGGGTGGGGGGGAAAGGAGGAGTGTGGAGGTGGCATGTTATTGTGGACCAGGTGTGGTCCGTGGCTCAGTTTGGAAACCACTGCTTTATAGGACAGTAATTTTCCTTTTAGAAAACTGGTTAAAATTTTTATGCTAAAAGGACTAGTCAGTGACCACAGCTATAAAACTGGACAGTTTGTTAGGGAACTAGCTGCATACAGAGCCTCAAAACTTATACTGGTTCTACTTTCTAGGAATGCCATCCAGGCCTGGATCACATGTTGAACCTGCCCTGCCTTACCCCATATTGTCTAGCAGCAGGGGACAGATGGCATCAGCAGGATGGGTGGGACACAACAGGCATAGGACCAAACACATAAGGACTGCAAGGATGGTGAAGAAAGCATTTGGAAGGTCTCCACTGACCTTGAAAGGGCTCACTCATAACACTATGGGTATTCTAAGCATTACCTTTTTTTGACTCAAGAGAGATGCTGGGATGGGGGTGTTGAGGGAAACAGGTGAGGAAGGGAAGGAGGTGGGAGACTGAGAGACTCTTGTTGGAGACTCCAAGAATTAACAGATGAAATAATTCCTTTCAAAGGAAAACTGCTCGAAAGTCAATTCGCTCTTGTGGTCAGCAGCCTCTGGTTTCACAAGTCACTCAGAAAAGGCACATAGGCATCCAATATCAGTGGACAGTGTTATCTCATTTTTAAAGACAAGTGACTATATATGGACACTTCAACACTGGATGGTTTTAGGACTGTGGGTGACGTTCTCTGTGTTGCTTTGTGTGTGGTGGGAGGCTGGCTCGGTGTGAGTGTGGACATTTTCAGAGGCTTTACTAGCTTAGAATAGTTTTTAATCAGCAAGTGAAAATGGTGTTTTGCTTGGGAAGGTAGTTTAAAGTGCCCTTAGTGGTTCTAAACTGCTGTTTGCAGCAGCAGAAAGTATTTTTTCCTTCCAAAAAAAGACCTCCTACCCAACAGAATAGATTTTCTAGCCTGTCAATTTAACACACTGTAGGAAAGAGCTGTGACAAAGTAATTGGAAAATTAGTTGAAAAAAAATCCTTCTGACAATGCTGAAAATAGAAACATTTATGTCACAAAATTATTTCCAATGGCTGTACATTATACAGACATATGGATCAGAGGTCTGATAATCTAATTCCCTTGAAACTGCAGTATTTTCCTTTCTGGTACATATTTTCTATACTTCATCAATTCTCCTTCTTAATCCTCTAGTTATACATCCCCAACAAATACCCTTAAGTGATTGCATCTATGTTAGTTATACAGGTGTTTGAAAAAGAACAGAGACGATATAACTAGTACCAGCATATGTTTAACATCTTACCAGTAAGCCAGTAATGTTCAGAAATGTCAGTTCTAATGTAATGGTGGTCCTGAGACAGGCCCAGAGAACGTGTTAAAGCAGTATCTTTGCCAAGGAAATCAGAAGCTGTTCCAGCATAGAGGTACTCATCTGTAAATGAGAAATAGTGTGGGTATTTCAAGAGCACTGTATATGTGGTTTAAATCATTCCCATTTTTACTGAGGGAATAAACACAGCTATATATATTTACAATTCTAATCTTAAACCACTGGGCTTTTTAAATTTTAATTCTAACCTGTGATTTGATCAAGGTCCTTGAAGGAGAATGTTTTTGGTTTTTCTAAGTGGCTTAGGAGTTCAAATTCCATTTTCAAAAATGACTTGGGTAGTAATGAGCCTAAATCCCATTGGCTACTGAGTGAGACTTATGCTTCTAAGTGCCAGTGTGTCATTTATGAAAATGAGATCAGGTTTACACAAATTAATATTGCATACAGCTCATACTACTAATCTTGAGTTTGAATACAGGATCAAATCCTGCTCATTCTACCTTGATGTACTTACCAATGTAAATGAGCCTTTCCTGGATAAGGTGGTCAGGATTTCACACAGAGTGAAATTTCATCTATAATGCATTTGAGTTGTGCCAGCTGTAAATACAGCTACGGTTTATTCTGCTATGCATACAATACATACTTTCCTGATATCTGAGCACTGTATAAAACCAAAGAGCACACAAGACCAGACCAATATTTCCTTTTTTGCTCTTTGAAAAGAAACATTTAAAAAACGATCTTGCTGTAAACGTTTTTCATAGCATCATGCATTCCATCATGTTTGTCTTCCTTGCAAACCAAAGAGATAATTTACCATAATGGATTTTTTTATATAACAGAATTAAATATAATGGTGATTGTTGTTGTTGTTGTTGTCTGCAATGCGAAACAACTGAACTATCATGCATGTTATCTGTAATTTACTGAAAGAAACTTACACTTCACAACAATCACATTGCATGTGTCAAAACCCACTACTTCAACTTTGACCTTGGTGGAAACATTTTTCAGGGTCCCTTTAAGGAAAAAGTCGCATACTGAAAGCATATCCAATATTAGTACAGTGCTGTATGTTTTCTTTTTTAAAAAGATAAATGTACTTTAACAATTAAGACCCAAAAATCTACACACAGTATATCCAACCAAATAAATCTCTCCCTCTTTTATTAACTTGGATTGGTATCATGAAAGTGGTCTTTCCAGGGCAATATTTAGAAGTACATCTTTCAGACATTGCGTCTCCACTGTGCAAGAACAATAGCATATTCTGAAAGGTAAATGTCATAATGAGGAATGGACAGTATTATTGGTGTTTGCTAACTGACAGGCATTCAATGATTGATAAATCTGAAGGGCTAAAAGAAAAAAAATGCTGATCCTCACTTAACTCCTGTTGACAAGAACTTTTCAGCACTTTAGTTTTTTGTTGTTTTTTTGGCATCCTGCATTCCAAGTTCTACTTATTTTCTACAAAAGCACTGGTGAACAGATTTTTAAATAAGAGGGATCCTGAACATTAATATAAATAATAACAGCAAATAAGAATGCTGTGTAACAATAATGGTCTTAAAAAGCCATTTTTCTACCCAGATGAGGTAAATGAATATTCAAAACTTTTAATGATATCTGTGACTTGTCTGTGAATACTCATAACAGCACGTATTTACAGTTTGGGTTTGGGGTTTTTTGTAAGGATATGGGCTAAATAAACTCTAAACTGGCAAAAATCAGCTCCCATGTATTCTAGCCACCAGGATTTTTTAACATAATGAATAATTAATCAGTTGAATTACTGCCAGATTATTTGAAAAATTAAAAAAAAAAAAGAAAAGAAAATAAATGGAACAGAATAAAAACTATCTGGGCTGCAGTAAACCAACTAGAGAGAAACAGAGATAATATATAGTGCATATGTATATTTTTATCTTGAGATCTCCAAATTCTTTGCAAAGGAGAACAATATCATTGTTCCCATTCTGCAGATGGGAGAAGTGAGGCACAGGGAAAAAGAAATATGAACCAGAAATTGAGATCTCCTGCATCTCAGTGCCATGCCTTTGCCAGAAGTCATACAGCTCCCTCAGGCTCCTAGCATAATCTCCAGTTGATGTGTTAGGAGTGGCAAGTTATTTCATAACTGCTCACCGTGCTATTTCTTGTACCTTCCTCTGAAGCATTTGCAACCACTCACATTCATACAGGGATACTGAATTAGACAGATCACTGATTTGGTCTGGCATGGGTCTTGTTATGTTTAAAATTTTATCTTCACAAGCTGCAACATAGCAGTTTTTCCATTTCAAAAGATTTAAGAGAAAAGTCAAAGTGTTTTAGTGCTACTGAAATAGGCAAACAAGACTATAATAAATCATAGTGTTTGGTCACATTAGGGTAAAGAGAATGGTAGAAGTTTTTGGAATGCTTGCTTAAAAATAGACTTCATGGCCATTAAAAATACTAGGGGTTCCTGAGAAGGATGACCACTGGCTTTAATCTATTGTTTTTAATAAAGGAAGTGCTGGCCCATCTGTTGGGTCAGGATCACAAATCATCTATCTTATTATCTGGGAATAAAGACTGAGCATTAGTCATATTCTTTTTATAACACACAATGACCAATACTTCAAAGCACTGTCACCACTCCTCTTCTGTCTCAAATGAAAATGTCACGGTACTTTACTCTTATCTTCCATTCGTACACTTGATGGATAAGTTAAATTAAAATTGTCCAAAGCTACGAACCAAGCCATGACTAAAGTAACTCGTCTGGTGGTTTGAAATCCGGAGGTCAAGTTGACCTTTCACGGCACCAAATGTCAGGCCACGCAGCACCAGAACCTATGCAGGAGGCAGATTGTGCTATCTTGTTCTTAGATTGAACGCCTCAGAAGTGGCCATTAAAGTAACTGGAAGCATCAAAAATGTATTTATGGAAATGGTTCATGTCAGTGGACTTCTAAGGGCAGAACACATTGGTAACTGTAGACAGAAGCCCAAAATTATTTGAAACACTGGAGAGGTATGTCTTATGTAACAGAACTGATCAATAAATATGATACCATTTTGATTTTAAATAGGCATTGCTTCCATTTACTGGCTCCCTCCTAGTTCCCTCCTTAGCATATGCAGATTTCAGGATGCTGTTGAGCCAGGTAGGTCATCACTGCATGCAAGCTGATTTACACTTGCTGAGCATCTCCGCTATTTTCAGTATTTCAGAATATGTTAGTGAACATGTGAGGGAAAAGCATCCATGCTTTAATGTCTTACCTGTCATTATGGAAGCAAAAGGCTGCTGAGGATCGAAAGGACATTTCAGTCTGCCAGACTCCAAGGTCTGTGTGTCCAGTCTGAAAACTGTTTCCTGAAAATAAATAGATGTTCATTATGGATGTGTTGCTGCAGAGAGTGTCTCAGTCTCATGCTTACTGTTCTGCTAATATATAAAGTGGAGATGTATTAGAACAAGTATCTGTTTTGTATCTGGCATTTATATTTCTAGTTTTATGATATCTGTTGCATATCTAGATTTGTGTTTTTTTTACATTCAGTATTTTAATGAAGCAGGATCATTTAACGCAACTAAATGAAATAAAAATAAATTGATTGGGAAAGAGATACAGTATTCAATTCTGGCTGAACAAGGGCTAGATTGTGCCATAAAAAGCATTTCCAGTGAGGAGGGAGTACACAGAGACTAATGGGAGGCCCTGAAGAGATTCTGGCTGACTCCACCTGAATTTCAATGTGGGGGGTAATAATACTCACTACAGGTTCAGCTCAGCCTCACTTTAAATGTGTGCATCATATGTATCTTCTTGCTCTCTTTAAGAAGGCTAATGGTACAGGGGGTGTCATTATGGAGCAGTGGCTCTAGTATCTGTTAACATGGCTGTTAGCTCCTGGGCAGAAATATGGGACATAGGCTGAAGCAGAGAAAGATGGTAATTAAAAAGTAATTAATAAAGTAAAATAATTTACAAGTTGCTAGTTCTATTTACAACCTTTAATTGCCAAAGTGCATGCTTCACACTTGTTTCCTTCAATGGTTTCCTAATATTTAGAGGGCTTGTACTAACATGTTTAACACTTAAAGACTCACCTGTGCTGAAAAAGAGAAGTCCAAGACCTGACTGAGGATTTGACTATACAGGGATGTTTTACTGTGGTCAAGCCAATATAACACCCCATGTAGTGGTTTTTTTAGTTTACCTATTAACCAAAGTGACAAAAGCTGAACTCAAAGAAACATTGCGGGGGGGGAGCAGGGTAAGACTATCCACACAGTGAATTTCTATGTTATAATTTCAATTATTTAAATTCACTGCCTAATTTATTCTGGTATAAATTCCACCCCCACCCTATACCTTCCATTTACACAAGTACTAATATTCTTGTGAGATCAGAATAAGCTCAAATAACTCAAAGGTTCAAATAAATACAATTGCATCTACTGATGCGGCTAACACTTGCATGCTTAACTTTAAGCATGAGTGACCTTGTTGAAGGTAGTTTAACTATTTGTGAAGGTAAGAAGATCTCTTTGTGAAATCAAGGCCTTACTTCTTTATTTTCAGATACTTTTACGTATACTCAGTCTTGAGTTGTTTCATAAAATTCAAATAGGATGGATTATCAGTAGTCTATTTCAAAACTCTTCTAGTATTTATAATTCAGTTCATCAGCCAGTTTAACCTAAAAGGTTCATACAAACTTTTGAGGAGATTAGGGGGAGATTAGTTCATGTTAAAAATGGCCAACCAATATAATTTAGTTCACCCGGATCCCTAGTTAGGTCAAACTAAGTGCGAACTGTACTGAAGTTCAGGACAGTTAGACTGATCTAAAAATGGCCAACCCAATCTAAGTTAATTGTACCTCGGAGGGAGTCAAATCGGGTCTGGTGAGACTGATCTAACTGAACATCTGAACGTCTGTACAGTTCCTGGCACAGCCCTGGGGCTGGGAAAGATCCACCAGTAGCTCCAGACCCAGGACAGCGCTTTTTCTAACCACCACCCCCAGCACCTGACTATTTTTAGCCCCTCCCCCACAGATGGACAACCTCTCACCATGGACCAGCCAGCTCTCCTGCCCTAAGCCTGCCAAACTCAGTATCCTAAAGGCCACTCCCAGTGTCAGTCTTAGGAAGTAAGTTAGACTGGGGGCAAGGGTGGGCAAGATTGAGGTTGGTTCACTTGGGGGAAGTTGCTTGGCTGGGGGGGAGAGAGAAACCCTCCACTCCACCAAACCCACATCATGGACCCTGCTAGCCCCCCCGATTCCACCAAACTTTCCCAGACCACACCAGCTCCCCACTGCAGACCCAGATAGTCCTCGGATCCCAACCTCACCACAGACCCCACTAACTCAAAATCCTCCAAGCCCCCACAGACCTTGCTTGCACCCGCAGGGTCCCCAAGCTCCTAACCCCCCCATCCTTATTTACCTTAGATCAGGTGACCATTTTAACTCATTTTAACCCCTGCCACCCCATAGCCTCCCCAAATGCCTGTATGTACCCAAAGTTATGATGCCATATAAGTTAAGTTTTTTTTCAGGTAATTTTTCAGGTATTATGAAGCCTTATTGAAATTAATAGTTTAAAAGTCAATTTAAATGAATTATTTAAAATTATTTAAAATTTATTCATAAATTATTTATGAATTATTTAAAATTGCCCTGACTTAAAATTACTCCACCCTGAATGAAGGTATGAAGGACAGTTACTTTTCTACCATAGAGGCCCATTCATCACCAGACTTCATAATGAGTTAGATTGATGGGCTTTCATTTTTATTTTCTTTTTTAGGTTTTTCCTCAGATGTCTATCTATACATTCTCTAGGTTCAACACAAAACATTGGAAAGAAAAAATGTCTATAGGATAATTAATAAATAAGTTCCCTAAAAAGGCCCTTTCCAATCCAGGAACAATTTTTTTTTTCACCCCCATTCCTTCATCCACCTTATTCTTTCAAATGGTAGACCCATTCCAGTGGTCCTCCATAAAAAATGCCATGGTACCTTGGTTAGGGTTGTTAATTGTAGCCATGTTTGTCTAAAGACATAGACAGACAAGGCTCTTTGGGTAGATGGTCTTTTATTAGACCAACTAAATAGTTGGAAAAATTGTTCTTTGCAAGCTTTTGGGTACAAATACCCTTCTTCAGGCACAGGGAGAGTTTGTTGTTTCTTTATGTGCTCTCCATGGTACCCTGGGGTGCTGCAAGACCCCCTCAGGGGTGCCACAGTATGGATGCTGCCTCAGTGGCCAGGTAAAAGTGCCCCACATGCCTTGTACACAGCCAGGCCAGGAAAAGCTGCAACACACACACACACACACACACACACACACACACACACACACACACACACACACACACACACACACACACACACACACACACA